TCGAAGCCAACGAGGTCGGCCGCAGCAGTAGAGGCAACAGAGGGCCAAAGGGGGGAGGGGGAACACCCCTCAAAGATGGGGGTGCGAGGGTCACCACGAGAGGCTCCTACAGAGACTATGCTCTTCTCTGCTACTAGGAGGGCCTTCTCGAGGAGGTCAACGGTGAGAGTGGTTGGGCAAACTGAGAGGAAGTGGTCCCTGACTACACGAAGGGAGTCAGGGAGCCGGGTGACTATGTAGTAGAGGGTGATGTACATGGGGGGGGGGTTCTTGGCGCAGAACTCAGCAGTGCGGTAGCGAGTGTCACTAGTGCGGAGGTGCGGAATGAGGTCAGCGACTGTGGGGAAGGCAGCAAGGTCAGGGAAGAGGTACGGTAGCATGAGGCGGCTAAGTGCAGCAGTGGCAGGGGAGGAGTAGCGTGCAACTACAACATCGTACAAGGTATGAGCACTCTTGTACTGGCTAAAGTGCGCACGCTCAGAGGTAGGCAGGTGGCGACGCACAGCAAGACGTGCAGCAGCATTGCGTGTGGCCCACTGTGAGCGAACAGTGGTGTCAGCATCAGCAGCAGGGGCAGGAGAGGCACCAGAGGTGAGGTCAAAGAGGGAGAGACCGTCTGCCCTATCGCACTGTAAGAAAAGCTGCAGGTCATCTACCCAGACGTCAAAGTCAATGGCCCAACCCTCAGCGTCAAAGGCGAGGACACTAGGGTTAGCCATGACAGCAGTAGACAAGCAGCGCGAACAATAGGGTAAGGGCAGTGCAGTGATAGAGGCGCTGCTCTTACCGGACAGGGCGGCTCGGGCGGCTCGGCGGCTCGGCAGCAACTGCGGCTCGGCGACTCGGCGGCTCGGGCGGCTCGGCAGCTCGGGCGGCTCGGGCGGCTCGGCGACTTGGCAGCTCGGGCGGCTCGGCGGTCGGCTGCCGAGCGGCTCGGCGGCTCGGGTGCTGGGCGGCTCGGCGGCTGGTGTGCCTGGTGACGACCGCGGCAGCAGTTGCAGGAGCTGTGGTGACTGCTGCTTCAGAGACGGCGGCCGCTGCTTCCTCAGGGACGGCGGCGGCCGGCCGCTAGGGGCCGCGAAGGGCGGCGTAGGGGCTGTGAAGGGCGGCACGAGGGGCCGCCGAGGGCGGCGACGGGCCGTGAGGAGGCCGCGGAAGGCGGCTTGAGGGGCCGCGAGGGGGGGCCGTAAGGGGCCGACGGGCGGCGGGAGGGGCCGTAAGGGGCTGCGAGAGGGCCCGTAAGGGCGGCTCGAGGGGCCGTAAGGGCGGCGTTAGGAGCCGTAATGACGGCACGAGGGGCCGAGAGGGCGGCGCGACGGGCCGTAGGGGCGGCGCGACGGGCCGTAAGGGCGGCGCGACGGGCCGTACGGGCGGCGCTAGGGAGCCGTAAGAGGGCCGCTAAGGGCGACCCGACGGGGCCGTGAAGGGCCTAGCGAGGGCGCGACGGTAGGGAGAGCACATGGGGCGCGATTCGGGCCGGAGCGAAGCGCGCTCCGGGCAGAAAAAAAAGTTTCGTGGTGGTGGGCCCTAGGAATCGTTCCCACTAGGGAACCTGCTCGATACCATGAGAAGAAACGAGGAATGAATGAACTATGAAACAGTTGGGTACAAGTACTAACCCTAATTGGGTTGTACCCCTTATGGGCTACCCCACTACAGCCTACACAAATGTATAAGCTATAATGTTGTAACAACTTGGTAAGGAACATACGGTACATACGTAGGCACAATCACTTGGTAAGGAACATACGGTACATACGTAGGCACAATCACTTGGTAAGGAACATACGGTACATACGTAGGCACAATCACTTGGTAAGGAACATACGGTACATACGTAGGCACATTCACTTGGTAAGGAACATACGGTACATACGTAGGCACATTCACTTGGTAAGGAACATACGGTACATACGTAGGCACGATCACTTGGTAAGGAACATACGGTACATACGTAGGCACATTCACTTGGTAAGGAACATACGGTACATACGTAGGCACAATCACTTGGTAAGGAACATACTGTACATACGTAGGCACAATCACTTGGTAAGGAACATACGGTACATACGTAGGCACATTCACTTGGTAAGGAACATACACTACATACGTAGGCACAATCACTTGGTAAGGAACATACGGTACATACGTAGGCACAATCACTTGGTAAGGAACATACGGTACATACGTAGGCACAATCACTTGGTAAGGAACATACTGTACATACGTAGGCACAATCACTTGGTAAGGAAAATACAGTACATACGTAGGCACATTCACTTGGTAAGGAACATACGGTACATACGTAGGCACATTCACTTGGTAAAGAACATACGGTACATACGTAGGCACAATCACTTGGTAAGGAACATACGGTACATACGTAGGCACAATCACTTGGTAAGGAACATACGGTACATACGTAGGCACAATCACTTGGTAAGGAACATACGGTACATACGTAGGCACAATTACTTGGTAAGGAACATACGGTACATACGTAGGCACAATCACTTGGTAAGGAACATACTGTACATACGTAGGCACAATCACTTGGTAAGGAACATACGGTACATACGTAGGCACATTCACTTGGTAAGGAACATACGGTACATACATAGGTACATTCACTTGGGCGGTGTTTGACAACACACCGAGAGGAAGGAAGCCCATATTTGGCACGGAAATTAATTCGATGATCACCCTCCGGCACGCTTTGGTGATGTGCACTCTAAACCCTGGCTTGCGCTGCATTGTCGTAGTGCACCGCACCCAGGCCCCTAGATTCGTTTTGAGGTAGTCTGACACCTCAGATTACACCCCTCTTCCTACTCTGGCTGTCAGAGTTACCTATTTTTTTTAGTCTGAAAATTCAGACAAGCACAACTTTTTTTGTCTGAACTCTCTAAGTTACTTCAAATTTTAAGATGTTCATGCAGTTTCATAACAGCATAGTTATATTAGCATTAAAGCTGATTACAGCTTACCAACGAATCAGGCAACGTGCTCGTACATCGCCACTGCTCATGTCGGCGGCGTTCTGGTGTTTTTGTCACGTGCAGTGCATGGTTGTTTCTGCTGATCTCATTTCGTTTTGTCGTGTGTGTAATTATGGTTCTGTACCCATTTTCTCGCCTGTGTGCCAATTTTGTCAATTTTGGATTTGCGTTTCTAGCGATGCGATTGTTCACCCGATCTGTATCAGGTGGGCCAAGTGCCACGCAGCTGAGCTGTCAGCAGGCAGAAACTGTTGCTTGGCGTGGCGTATGAGCATCATGTCAGAACATTATAGCTTACTTATTTGTGTAGGCTATAGTGGGGTATCCCATAGGGGGTACAACACAATTAGGGTTTCCTATATGTACTCACTTCATTCATAGTCATTCCATCCTCGTTCACTTCTTCTCATGGAATCAGAGCAGGTCCCCTCCTAGGGACTGTTCTTAGGGCCCACCGAAGCGCGCCCCGAGGCGCGCATTCTTTTTTTTAGTGACCCTTCGTGTCGCCCCTAGCGGCCCGTTACGCCGCCCTTACCTACGCGACCCTGCCGCCCTTACATCGCGGCCCCGCCGCCCTTAAGTCGCGGCCCCGCCGCCCTTACGACGCGGCCTCGCCGCCCTTACCTACGCGGCCTCGCCGCCCTTACGTCGCGGCCCCGCCGCCCTTACGTCGCGGCCCCGCCGCCCTTACGTCGCGGCTCCGCCCCCCTTACGTCGCGGCCCCGCCGCCCCTACGTCGCGGCCCCGCCGCCCTTACGTCGCGGCCCCGCCGCCCTTACGTCGCGGCCCCGCCGCCCTTACGTCGCGGCCCCGCCGCCCTTACGTCGCGGCTCCGCCGCCCTCACGTCGCGGCCGAGCCGCCCTTACGTCGCGGCCCCGCCGCCCTTACGTCGCGGCCCCGCCGCCCTTACGTCGCGGCCCAGCCGCCCTCACGTAGCGGCCCCGCCGCCTCACCTCTGCGGCCCACCCGTCGCCTTACCTGCGACCCGCCCGCCGCCCTTACTTGCGGCCTACCGCCGCCCTACCTGCGGCTCACGCCGCCGCCCCTACCGCTCGCCGCCGACCCGGCCGCACGCTTCAGCCGCCGCCTCGGCCCCCCCCCCACGCCGCCCTTACGCCGCTGTGACCCAGCCGCCCGAGCCGCCTGTGCCGCTGAGGAGCCGAGCCGCCCGACTCGCCCGAGCCGCTGAGTACCCGAACCGCCCGAGCCGCCCGAGCCGCTGAGTACCCGAGCCGCAGAGCACCCGAGCCGCCCGAGCCGCCCGAGCCGCCCGGGTCATCTGAGGAGCCGAGCTGCTGGTCCACCGGAGCTGCTGTTGCTGCTGGGCCGGCCGAGCAGCAGAGTTGCCGTGTTACTGCGCCCCTGAGCTGCCCGACCCGCCCTCTCTGGTGAGATCGTCGCCTGCTGTCATGGCTACCCCTAGTGTCCTAGCCTTTGACGCCGAGGGTGGCGCCATTGACTTTGAGGTCTGGGTAGACGACCTGTAGCTGTTCTTACCGTGCGATAGGGCAGACGGTCTTTCTCTCTTTGACCTCACCTCTGGCGCCGTCCCTGCCCCTGCTGCTGATGCTGACCCCACTGTTCGCTCCCAGTGGGCCACGCGCGACGCTGCTGCACGTCTTGCTGTGCGTTGCCACCTGCCTACCGCTGAGCGCGCGCACTTTAGTCAGTACAAGAGTGCTTACACCTTGTACGACGCTGAAGTTGCGCGCTACTCCTCCCCTGCCACTGCTGCACTGAGTCGCCTCATGCTCCCTTTCCTCTTCCCTGACCTTGCCGCCTTTCCCACTGTCGCTGATCTCATTACGCACCTCCGCACTAGTGACACCCGCTACCGCGCTGCGCTTCCCGCTGACTTCTGCGCCAAGAACCCCCCCCCCATGTACATCACTCTCTACTTTCTAGTCACCCGCCTCCCTGACTCCCTTCGTGTAGTACGGGACCACTTCCTTGCGGTCTGTCCCACCACTCTCACAGTCGACAGCCTCGAGAAGGCCCTCCTAGCGGCGGAGAAGAGCATAGTCGCTGTAGGAGCCTCTCGAGGTGACCCCCGCGCCCCCATCTTTGAGGGGTGTTCTCCTTCCCCTCTCTTGCCCTCTGTCGCCTCTACCGCTGCGGCCGACCTTGTTGGTCTTGAGTCGGTCGGTGCGGCGTCTGCCCCTAGCGGGAGACGCCGCCTTGGCAAGGGCAAGGGGGGCAAGGGAGCGGGTGGGGCCAGCGGGGGCGGTGGAGGTGGAGGTGGAGGCGGCGGAGGGAGTGGGGGTGGCGGTGGAGGTGGTGGCGGGGGTGGTGGTGCTAGTGGCGGCAGTGGAGGCGGGGGTGGCGGCGGCGGTGGCGGTGGGAGCGGAGGTGGTGGAGGCGGCGGCGATGGAGGCGGAGGCAAGGGTGGCGGTGGTGGAGGTGGTCGGAGTGGCGCTTCGCAACGGAGCAGCACTGGGGGTGGTCAGCGCCAGCAGCAGCAGCAGCAGCAGCAGCATCAGCAGCAGCAGCGTTCTCGCGACGTCCCCACCCCTCAGCAACTCCGTGAGTGGTACACGCAGCGTCAGCGTGGTGGGAGTTTTGGTCCCTGCACCTACGTTCTTCGCAATAGCGACCGCGCTGGAGAGCAGTGTGGGGGGACCCACACCGCCCAGCGCTGCTTTGGCCGCCTGACAGACGCTTGGCGCCAGCAGTTCCCGGAGGCCGCGGAGATCCCCCGCTGGGGAGAGCTGTCTAGGGCTGGTGTAGCTATCTTTGATCTTGACTTTGATGCTATCCTTGCTGCCATGTATGCTGTGACCATTAGTGATGAGGGTGACTGTTACCGGTGTTTCCCGACCGACCCGGGCATTGGTACTGCTGCTCTAGGTGCCAGCGAGGCTTCTGCTCCAGGTGCCAATGCGTCTGTGCTCTCAGGTACTGGTGAGGCTGCTCTCTCAGGTACTAGTGTGTCTGCGCTCTCAGGTACTGCGTCGGCTTCGGCCTCCCACACCTTCACCCTTGACTCTGGAGCGTCTCGCTCCTTCTTTCGAGACCGCACCATACTCACGCCGCTTAGTCGGCCGGTTGCGGTGTCCCTGGCTGACCCCTCTGGGGGTCCTGTCATGTCTCGCTTCTCCACAGTCCTCCCGTGTCCGGCGGCTCCCTCTGGCACCCTGTCTGGTCTCTACCTCCCCTCGTTCTCTACGAACTTGGTGAGTGGTGCTGACCTACAGGATGCGGGGGTCCACCAGTTCACCCCTGCTCGTCAGCGAGTGACGCACTGCACAGAGGCTAGCACAGGTCGTCACCTGGCTACGTTTACACGTCACCCAGGGTCGAGCCTGTACACACTGACCACTGCTTCTCCTCCAGTTCCTGAGTCTGGTAGGGTCCCTTCGTCAGGTCAAGTGTTTGCTGCAGCGTCCAGGTCTGGTCCTGAGTCTGCCCCCTGTTCGTGTCGTCGCCGGTCTCACGAGACTCTCCTCTGGCACCACCGCCTGGGTCATCCCTCTCTGCTTCGGCTCAGAGGCATGGCCTCCCGTCTTCTTGTGTCTGGTCTCCCCCGATCCCTTCCTCCCCTTCCTCAGGGCCCTGGCCCTGCCTGTGTCCCCTGTGTCGAGGGGCGCCAGCGTGCTGCCCCTCACTCCTCCCAGTTTCCTCCGACAGAGGCGCCGTTGCAGACGCTTCACATGGACGTGTGGGGCCCTGCCCGCGTCCATGGACTCGGTCACGAGTGCTACTTCCTGTTGGTGGTTGACGACTACTCGCGTTACACCACAGTCTTCCCCTTGCGCAGCAAGGGTGATGTCACTGAATTGCTGATCGACTGGATCCACGCAGCTCGTCTCCAGCTCAGGCAGAGCTTTGGCTCGGACTTTCCAGTGTTGCGTCTGCACTCGGACAGAGGCGGAGAGTTCTCCTCTGGCCTTCTGCGTGCCTACTTCCGTGCGCGAGGCATCCGTCAGACCTTCACGCTTCCGGACTCACCGCAGCAAAATGGGATTGCAGAGCGCCGCATTGGCATGGTCATGGACGTCGCTCGTACGTCTATGATGCATGCGGCTGCCCCCCATTTCTTGTGGCCGTTTGCGGTCAGGTACGCGGCGCATCAGATCAACCTCCACCCCAGGGTTTCCAGGCCGGAGACCTCCCCAGCCCTGCGATGCGTCGGCGTTCCGGGTCTGGGGATCTTGGGCGTTTGTCCGCGACTTGTATGCAGACAAGCTGTCCCCTCGCGCTGCTCCCTGCGTCTTCCTGGGGTTCCCCCCCGACGCCCCTGGGTGGCAGTTCTACCACCCCACCTCTCGTCGTGTTCTGTCCTCCTAGGACGTCACGTTGGACGAGTCGGTACCCTACTACCGCCTCTTCCCCTACCGCACTCCGTCCCTCCCCCCACCCCCGCTCTTCTTGGTACCAGGTCCCCCCCCGGTAGACCCCCTTCCCCCTCAGGGTCCTGCCCCGTCAGGTGTGTCCCAGGTAGACGCGGTCGAGCCTGTCGAGGTCACTGGTGACTCTCGTGCTGCTGTGGGTGCTAGGCCTAGGGGTGCTGCGACTGGGGGTGCTGTGCCTGGGGGTGCAGAGCCTGGGGGTGCGGAGCCTGGGGGTGCTGAGCCTGGGGGTGCTGAGCCTGGGGGTGCTGAGACTGGAGGTGCTACGCCTGGAGGTGCTTTGCCTGGGGGTGCTGAGCCTGGAGGTTCTCCGGGTGCTTCGTCTCGCCGAGAGCCACTCTCCCCACAGGAGCTGCTTGAGTGGTTTGCCCGGCGTTGGAGGCGTGCAACTGGTGCTGGAGGTTCTTCGGCTGCTGAGGGTGCTGCTGCCGCGGGTCTCGGAGGTGATCGTACTGGGAGTACTGGAGCTGCTGGGCCTGCGGGTTCGACTGGAGCTGGTACTGCTGAGGGTGTTGGCGCTGAGCCTACCACTAGCAGTCCGACTGGTGGTGCTCCTGGTGCTGCTGGAGGTTCTGCTGCTGCTGGGGGCTCTTGAGCTACTGGAGGTGCTGCTGGAGGTGCTGCTGGAGCTGGTCCTCCTGCTGGAGGTACTGGTACTGTCCCTGCTGTTTCTGGCGTCGTCACGCAGCCCCGACCGTACTTCGTTCCTCTCCTGCAGCATGTTCTTGGTCTTTCACCTTCTCCTGGTCCTCCTCCTCCTCCCTTAGCGGGTCCACAGCCTGTCCAGTCACAGCCACAGCTACAGCCTGCCTCCCTTTGCCTGCTCCTTCTCCCTACGCTGGTCCTACTGGAGGTCTTACTGAGCGTCGTGAGCCTGTGTCTCGTCCTGCGTCGCCTGTTCTTGCTGCACACGCTAGTGGTCGCGGTTCACGTCAACGTCCTCCTCTTGTCGCTGGCAGGCACTGGATGTCACTGCGTCCGTCTACTGCTCCTCTGCGTGCCCCTTTACCTTCTCCTCCTGAGTCCTCTCTTCCTGCTCTTGCCGACCCTAAGTCGAACTCTCTTCGTGCTGCCAGTCCTACTGTCACGCGTCTCCTTGCTACTGCCGTCACTGACCCTTCTTTCGAGTCCACTGCTGCGTCTGCCCTTGTTACTGAGCTCGTCGACTTTGCTGCTCGCTGTCGTCTAGACTACGCTGCTAGTCTTGTTGCTGAGTCTGCGTCTGCCTGTCCTCCGTCCATCGGGGGTGAGTGTGCCCTTGGCACGGACGTCCTTGAGGACAGGCAGGAGGAGTTCCAGTGTCTGGCCGCCGCTTCACCTCATCTCGTGTCCGTACTGCTCACTCCTGAGGGAGACCCGGATGCACTTGACATCCCGACTCCGCGCTCTTACGCGGAGGCGATAGAGGGTCCCTACTCCTCTCAGTGGCAGGCAGCTATGGACACAGAGATGGCTTCCTGGAAGTCCACAGGCACCTGCGTTGACGCTGTCCCCCCTCCTGGGGTGAACATCGTCAGTGGCATGTGGATCTTCAGGGTGAAGCGGCTGCCGGGTTCTCCGCCTGTCTTCAAGGCGCGTTACGTGGCTCGTGGCTTCAGTCAGCGGCAGGGGGATGACTACTTTCAGACCTTCTCCCCCACCCCAAAGATGACCACTCTTCGGGTACTGCTGCACGTTGCTGCTCACCGTGACTACGAGCTGCACTCTCTCGACTTCAGCACTGCTTTCTTGCAGGGCAGCCTGCACGAGGAGATCTGGCTGCGTCGCCCACCTGGCTTCACTGGGTCTTTCCCTCGTGGTACCCAGTGGAGTCTCCGGCGTCCAGTCTACGGTCTCCGCCAGGCGCCGCGTGAGTGGCACGACACACTGAGGACTACGTTGGCGGCTCTTAGGTTTGCTCCTTCCACTGCAGACCCGTCGCTGTTTCTGCGCACCGACACCTCTCTGCCGTCGTTCTACATCCTCGTGTACGTCGACGACTTGGTCTTTGCCACAGCTGACACTGCTGGACTCGCCTACGTGAAGTCCGTGCTGCAGAAGAGACACACGTGCAGTGACGTGGGTGAACTGCGCAGCTACCTTGGCTTGCAGATCACCCGGGACAGAGCACGCCGCACCATTACCCTGACTCAGTCACACATGGTGCAGCAGGTCCTTCAGCGCTTCGGCTTCACGTACTCCTCGCCTCAGGCCACTCCTCTGCCTACTCGCCACTCGCTCTCAGCTCTGCCTTCGGATGAGTCCGTAGAGTCGAGTGGCCCGTATCCAGAGCTTGTTGGCTGCCTCATGTACCTGATGACCTGCACTCGACCTGACCTTGCATACCCTCTTAGCATTCTCGCACGCTATGTTGCTCCTGGGAGACACCGACCAGAGCACATGGCTGCAGCGAAGAGGGTGTTGCGCTACTTGTGCAGTACGTCGGGCATGGGGCTAGTGCTTGGAGGGCGGAGTCCAGTGGTCCTCACTGGGCACGCGGACGCTTCTTGGGCTGACGACCAGGCTACGCAGCGGTCGTCACAGGGTTACACCTTCAGCCTCGGTTCCGGCTCTGTTTCGTGGCGGGCTACCCGCTCGTCTTCTGTTCTCGGCTCCAGTTGTGAGGCTGAGATCTACGCCGGGGCTATGGCTGCTCAGGAGCTTCGCTGGCTCACCTACCTGCTGACCGACCTTGGAGAGCCGCCTCGTTCTCCTCCAGTCCTGTACGTAGACAACAAGACCATGCTGGCCTTGTGTCGAGAGCAGCGAGTGGAGCACAGGACAAAGCAAATTGCTCTCTGCTACTTCCTTGCTCGTGAGCTACTGCAGCGTGGACAGTTGCGACTTGCGTACGTGGCCTCTGAGGCCAACACTGCTGATGTCTTCACCAAGGCACTTGCGCCTTGTGATCATCAGCGCTTCTGCACGCAGCTGGGTCTTGTGCCTGTCTTGCCTCACTTGCTCTCTTCTTGACCTTGCTTGTACTTTCACATATATATACTCTTGCTCTTGCTTGCTTAGACTCTTGTCTCTCTATATATGTGATCTTGCATGTGAACTGGCCTTTTGGCCTTTGAACTTGTGCTCGGAATGTGTGGTGACTTTGTGATCCACCTTGAGTTTTGCTTTGCTTTGCTTGACTGGTCGTG